CTGGACACACAGGTAAAAAGAAACAGAATGGGACTGAGAGGCAGAGATAGCCACAGAGGGTGTCGAGGTGCAGTCTGGTGTGTAGACGATTGTTTGCAGGGAGGCAGACACATTGGTTTAAGATCTTTTTTCTTATTGTGGCTTTCTGGAGCTTGTGTCAAAGTTTGCCTTGAAGCGTTGGCTCTTGTGGCAGCCGGAGCAGCACTCCTAAGGCTCTGTGTGAGAGAGAGAGAGAATGACTCTACTGCTTCACACTTAAAGACTCAAACCAGAACGTATTTTGCGGCTAAAAGATCTCATACTTCTTCAACGGGGTTTTACCCCTTGTGTGAATTTTCATAGAAGACGCCAAAGTATTAGATACTTTTCACAAATGTGGTCACTTTATTTGTTGTAATAAAAAAAAAAAAAAATAGACCTCTCTGTTTCTGCACATTTTACAGAGTTTTGTACAATGATATACCGAGCAGAAGTGAAGTATGAAGAGGCCCCCGAGCGAACTGAAATTTACAAGGTTGTGTTTGAATCATTCTTCAACAGCGGGGGTTTCAATAGGTTATCCACAGAAGAGAAGAAAAAGAAAATGCCTTCATTATCCAGTGTATAAAGTCTAAATGGAAAAAGAGACTGTGCAATGGCTGCCTGTGTGTGATAGGGGAGTAAATTCGGCTCTGATGCCTCGGGTGTTCTGGAAGGCTGCACTCTGGGCTCGCACTGGACCACACAGATTGCTGTCATTATGGAAAGAGGGTCTGTGGTGGCAAATACACATAAGCTCTCATCAGGAAACATACCCTGCTCAATGCCTTGGGCTTATTTGGAGATCTGAATATACAGTGTGCGATTTGCATGAAAACAAAGCACTGAAAATTAATTTTGATGTAGTTGCTTGCTTTGTTTGTCCCCTAACGGCTCACCACTACAGGCGTTGTTTTTTGTTGTCATGTGCTGTGGATTTATCAGGACATGTTTGCAGGAGTAGAGACCGTGTTTGAATGCGAAATCTGAATTTTTGTCATGCAAAAGCTGCAGCAACACCTATCCGTGTGTGCATGCCTGTGTGTGTTTGTGTTTCTCTCTAACAAGGGTGAACAAGCCCAGCTCTAATCTATGCATGGTTTCAGTGGCGAGGAAGTGAATCAGTAGAGAGTGAGTCACTGTGGACAAACAAAACACAGCCGACGCATTCTAATAAGACAAGACTTCTCAGGTTCAACTTAAACTTCCTTTAAGCCTCCTAAAGCGTCTCACACCAGTGCCACACTGTGAGCGAGTTTAGGGTCAGGTCAGAGCTCAGTCACTGCCGTGCGCTATCTGTGATAAAAGGTCAGAGGCTTGAGAGTAACAAACGTCATTTCTTTCTTTAAGAGGTCCTTTTGCCTCAACAGAGTATTTTCATACTCATTTCATGCAACATTTGATTTGGAACCTCTTTCCTCCCAGCTGCTGTGAGAGTGTTCTTTTCTTCAATGCTCCTCTGCCACTGCTCTTTTGTCATAATGAAGGTGCTTTTTGTAATGGCAGCCTTTGGCATTATGCTGCTGTGTCCTCCACCACAGGATGCTCTTTATCTGTACTTGAAAAGCTGACCACTGCTATTACTTGGTCACAGTCAGCGAGATCACATCTAATTTCTCAGAGCTGTGTAGACGGGGGAGGAATGCAATTTAAATCTGTTTCTAAACACCCAAAATTGCCCTTCATTTGTGTTATAAAATGTCACTCTAATGCATCTTTGAATAAAACCTGGCCTGTGCACTGTTAAGTGCTCAGAGACAGAGTCCTGCAGAAAGCTGGATTTGCAGGACTTAAATTCAGTGAAATGGTCTGCCCTCAGTCCTGGAACTCTATCGCACTCGAAATGGCAATAAAATGTTCATGCTGACAGCAACTAAACCGGTTATTGGTTATTATTGAAAGTGGCTTTTGCATAGACCACATAGCAATACAGCTTACTGTATTATACATTATATTTACAATACGGGGTAAAGAATGAAAATCGGTTAGTAGAAATTGTGAAATGCCAATGAAGACCTACCACATTGCATTTCTGCAGTAAGTCTATTGAAAGTGGGCAAAAGTGTACCTAATCTAAACTGTGAGTTTTACATTAACATATAATCACACCCTGCAGGGGAGCCGAAATCTATGTGAAACATACAAAGCCTCAGATTACAGAACCCGTCTGTACCAGCTGATATGATATTCATCAGTGCACAGTAAAGTGTGTACCGCTGGACATGATTCAGAGCTCATATGATTTTCTTTCTCCAATAATATGATGTCCAATCATTCTTGTATTACTTATTATTTATTAATTTTAGGTTTGTATGTCATTTTAATGTAACATTAAGCATGCAGTAACATACTGTAGGTGAAAACGCAGGGGATGTTTTATTGTCTGTTAGATTTGCTCAGGGATAAGACATGTTGAAGATCCTCAGAATAAACGTCAATAAGACGAACAGAGAAAAAACAAGAAGAGAAAGAACAGCCATATGCCCAAGCTCTGTAACCTTTAGAATCATATACATTCATATTAATTTATACAAAGTAATTCCCTTTTACCTGCCTAACCAGAACTGCCCCTCATTTACATTATTTTCAAGTTATTTTGTTTTTAATCAAAAAGGCATTTGCAAAACAAGATAACTGTAATAGTAACAAAACAGATGCTAATGAATAAGGATACAATCCTAAATATTAGATTTTCATTAGTGATTAACAATTACTCTGGTTTCTACCCCCAAACTGAGACTCATCTTATTAAGTGTCAAACCAAGGGAACAAAGGGGACAAATGAACATTATGTTCTTTGATGTATGATGAGAAGAACCACAGCACTCCAGGTTAAATGAGACTCAGACAAAGGTCAAATGTCAGCAGGAATAATCTTTAAGTCCAGGGTGGCAGGTAGGGTTACAGTTTCAAGTACACTCTCTGTAGTAAACTGTCACTTTCATTTAATTCTAACTGTGATTATCCCTGTTGTCACCTATGTCCTCTACCACCACCACCACCACCACCACCACCACCACCACCACCCCCCCCCACACACACACACACACACACACACACACACACACACACACACACGTACACACTCAAACACTTAAAGGAAAACCCAAGGCAGCTCAGCACATTCTGATTCAAAATCTTAAACATATGAGTTTGTCCTGTATTTTAAAAAGTTAATCATGATTAATCACATTTTTAATTGCATGTTTGAAATTCCATGAGTTTGCATTTCCAATTAGTTTTTATGCATGTATTTTGTAGTTTGTACTTTATTCATTAAGGGTACTTCAATATCAATCATTTAATCTATCTTTATTTATAACAGCTTCTTCCCCAGGGCTGTGGACACACTACAAACACACACACACACAGATAGAACTCACCCACGGACTACAATAATGGACTGTGCAATAACGTTTGTGTTTTAACTCCCTATATTTAAATTTATAAAGTATTTATTACATTATTTTTTACAAATGTTTAAGGGTATGAATGTGTATGTGGGTATGGGTGAGATGTGCTTGGATTGTGTTTGTGTATGTGTGTGTGTGTGTGCTGGTGTATGTGTACTTATCTTATATTTTATATGCTGCAAACAGGATTGCTTCAACTGAGTTTCGTTGTATATCATGCAATGATAATAAAGATAAATCTAACAAATCTAATCTAATTTGTATGACATCAATTCATAACAAATGTTATCTCAAGACACTTTACAAAAAGAGAATGTCTAGACCGTACACGTTATCTTATTCATAAAGATGTTACATTGATCCACCATGAGCACAGCATTAAGCCACATTTAGCAAAAGAATAAAGTGGCATGGAAAATTTGCTTTGAATTAACACAATATATATGTTTATAATTTCTGACCTTAATCACATCTTGGTTAATGTGTTAACATTAGTCAGTGTAATTAGGTCAACAAGAAGTGTTCTCTTTGAGACTTTATAAATAAAAATGTTAATACTACATAGATGTGAAAATATGGAGAAAATGACTTGAAAAAGCCAATGCAATTTATTATTAGTATTATAATTATTATTATTCTATGATTGTGTTCTTAAAGTCAAAAATAAAGAAATAGTTGGATGTAGTCGGATTTATAGACCAGAGTTTCTAAAAATCATGCTAGTTACCAAAATCAATTCTTAGAAAAAGAAGAGAGATAATGGATTTTGGAAATTAAGAATGTATTTACTTTTTACTACAACGTGGCTTAACTGGTATTATGTATAAACTCTACAACAACAAAACCAAATGGAGTAATCAACTGGAGTATTCAATCCAAGTCAGAATCAGGAATACTTTATTAATTCCAGCTGGGGGATATTCTGGCACTTGTTGGACACTGTATTTTTCACATGAGAACCAAGTTTTACAGCAACATAAGGATGTTTCTCAACTGCATTGGCCTATAGAGCAGATTTAAAAGACAGAATCATTGCTCCCATTTTTGCAACCACTGCTTGTCTGCCTTTGATAAATATCTTAATTTAATGCAGAGGTCAATCTAGTAACCACAGCTCATCGTTGTCTTTTCTCTTTTAGAATCAGTGTTCAAAAGATATGAATCTATTCATGAAGGTCTTCTGAGGAAAATCCTACTTGCATTGATCCAGAGTGTCATTTCACGTGTTGTTGTATAATTGATTCAATGCAGCGTCTTAACAGTGGCCTCTCTTGATCGGGCCTGACAGTCCTCAGGTTAATGGTGTGAAAACAGGGACCCTGCTTTCCCCAACCTGTCAGGTGGTAATTGGCCCATGGTTCCCTTAAATTGCAGTCCGCCACAGGGACTGCACACACTTTTCTAAATTGTGTACAAAACAATTAGTGTGGCATGAACATGGAGAGAATGCAGAAATCATGGATCTTTGCTTTGTGTGCAACAGTTCAGCAATATCATGTGCAATAGAAGTACAATAATCTTTCTGATAAAATGTAATTAATGTCAACTATGTGTTTGTCTCTCTCACAGGTTATTCCTCCATGCCAGGAAAGAGATGCATTAAGGAAGAGAGTGGCAGAAATAATAAGATGAGACCATTTAATGATGGTAACCTTTAAAGAAGAAAGCACAAGCCAAACTGGGGCGTTGAAATCTCTTCTAAACTTCACCACCAGTAAACTGAAGGCAAACCTCAATGAAAGAAACTGAGTGGAAGGTCAGATACCCAACATTTCTCTGATTGGTATGTGAGGACAATAGCATCCATCAATGAAGAGGAGACAAATAAAAGGATTGTTTCTGGCCTGGAGAACAGTCGAACATCAAGCTGATTTCCCAGAAGGGTCGTCTCAGTTGTTCTGAAACCACAGCAGAGTCCCTCTCCACTCATTTTATTTTTTGGCCCTTTCTCTCAGAGAAGCACCAATGGCCTGCAGCTCAGGCATGGTGATGAGTGCCTTGTTTTGGTCTGTAGCCATTGTATATTTGACTCATATTGGCAGAGTCAGTGGAGACTGCTGGCTAATCGAGGGTGAAAAGGGCTTTGTTTGGCTTGCGATTTGTAGCCAAAACCAACCACCATATGAGGCCATCCCACAGCATATCAACAGCACCATTGTTGACCTTCGTCTAAATGAAAACAAGATCAAAAGTATACATTATTCCGCCCTAAGTCGCTTTGCCAACTTGACTTACCTGAACCTGACCAAGAATGAAATCTCCTACATAGAGGATGGGGCCTTTTCTGCTCAATTTAATCTACAAGTCCTTCAAATGGGCTTCAACAAGTTGCGGAACCTGACAGAGGGGATCCTCAGGGGTTTAGGAAAGCTGCAGTACCTCTACCTCCAGGCAAACCTTATTGAGACTGTGACACCCAATGCCTTTTGGGAATGCCCAAACATTGAGAACATTGATCTCTCCATGAACCGAATACAACAGTTAGATGGGTCCACATTTACCAGTTTGACCAAACTGACCACCTGTGAGTTATACACAAACCCGTTCAACTGCTCATGTGAGTTACTTGGTTTTGTCAAATGGCTCTCAGTTTTCCCCAACAGGACCAATGAGCGGATGGTGTGTGACTCTCCGCCTGGTGTTTCTGGTTATAGTTTACTCAGCCAGAATCCTAACAATCCGACATACCGAAATGCACTCCACATGCTCACCACTGTGTGTACTGATGACTACGTGACACCATTTATTCCCCTACCCCCAGAGCCCACGACACCCCCACCAGACTCAACACTTTGTGGGTTGGAAGACTGTCCCTCAGGTACAGAACCAGAAGACCTTACCATCAGTACAACCTACAATGATGTGGAAGTATCCCCTATGATGAAAATGAAGCAAGTATCAAATACAGGTGCCACCATCACAGTTCAGATTCCTTATCCTTTCAAGAAGATGTATATCCTGGTTTTGTATAACAATAGCTTTTTCACATTTATTAAAAACCTGAAAGACATAAAAGAGGACGTCGAACTCAAAAACCTTAAACCCCAAACTGATTACACATACTGTGTCGCTTCCGTGCGTAATTCTCTTAGACACAACCACACTTGTCTGACAATCACTACTGGACCTCGGAATGGAAAAGAAAATGCTGTGAACAACGCAACCGCTACTCACTACATCATGACCATTTTGGGCTGCCTCTTTAGCATGGTCATTTTCCTTGGTGTGGTCTACTACTGCTTGCGAAGGAAGCGTCAGCAAGATGAAAAGCACAAAAAATCGAGTAGCCTGAAAAAAAATATAATGGAACTTAAATATGGTCAAGAGCTGGAAGGTGGGACTATTTCTAGAATGTCTCAGAAGCAGCTGCTGGCCGGGGAGAGCATGGCTCGTATGCCATACTTACCAACTGCTTCTGAGATGGAGCAGTACAAATTTCAAGAGATAAATGATACACCTCAAATGATGAAAGGAAATTATATGGAGGTGAGAAGTATGGACCACCATGAACGCAGGGAGTGTGACATGGGTATGCCTGGGAATAGCCAAGGGTCGGTGGCAGAGATCTCCACCATTGCAAAAGAGGTCGATAAAGTCAATCAAATCATCAATAACTGTATAGATGCTCTTAAGTCAGAATCCACATCTTTTCAGGGGGTCAAATCTGGAGCAGTTTCCAACGCAGAGCCTCAGCTCGTTCTTATATCAGAACACCCACAGAGTAAATCTGGCCTTCTATCCCCAGGTTATAAGGACAGCTACCATCACTCCCTGCAGAGGCATCGGACCTCTGACGCTTCCCCAAAGAGACCCAGCACTGCCACAGGAGGACCACGAAGCCCCAGGCCTTATCGCTCTGAGTCCAAGTACATAGAGAAAACCTCCCCGACAGGAGAGACCATCCTCACTGTAACACCTGCCGCCGCCATCCTGAGGGCAGAGGCAGACAAGATTCGCCAGTACAGTGACCACCGGCACTCGTATCCCGACGCTCAAATAGAGGAACTTGAAGGACCTGACGGCCACAAGTCCTCCATGCTGGAGCCTCTAACTCACTCCCGCTCCAGAGACTTAGCATATGCCCATATGTCTTCTCATTACCATAATCTAAGCTACTCCTCCAGTCCTGAATATTACTGCAAACCTTCACACAGCATTTGGGAGAAATTCAAACTCCACCGTAAACGACACAAAGATGACGAGTACATGGCGGCGGGACATGCACTGCGTAAGAAAGTCCAGTTTGCAAAGGATGAGGACCTCCATGATATTCTAGACTACTGGAAAGGTGTCTCTGCCCAACATAAATCATAACCTCTTTAGGTGTTTTTAAAATGGACCACGCATTGCAGAAATTACACAAAAACCTCATCTGACATTTTCATCAATGGATACTTCCACGTTATAATTAACAACTCACTAGAAGTGACTCACATTCTCTTTTGACTTTGAGCAACATGGGGTAAAGATTCTTTAAATTTGTCATTTTATGTAAAGCATTCATCTGGAAACTTTTATCTATTAAAAAGAAAATATATTGCAAATTAATAATATATATGTTACAATGGATTATAGGTTTTTGGGTATCGCATGGCCAAGTCCTGTGACAGTGGATTTGCTGTTGTGTAATATGAAACTACAATATGAAGATGTGTCTACTGAAACCTCACTCTTTTTTTCTGAGGAACTACCTGGACCCTTCATTGAAAGAGAACTTTCGTTTCTATCCTTCCTGCTTATATTTAATTCAACTAAACTATGTACAGATATGGGTTTCTATATTTGCAATGTTTGCTGTGTAAATGGAAATGTATTAGTAAGTGAATCAGGTTTCAATCAAGCAGAGCACTGTTCATTTAAGATAACTTGGTCCAACGTTTCAGATTGTTTGTCATTTTTACCTTCACTGCCTGTTTTTTTAATTCTCTTTCTTTTGAAAGCTTTTACACGCATTGACAGAGTACTACAGACAGATTCTGTTTTAATGTTCTCTTAATTACACAACGCGGTATTCAGTGGATGGAATCTCATTGACTTTATGCAGGTAGAATGCAGTATGACATGCTGTAATGAGGGTCTCAGTGAAGCATACTTTTATTTTTAGTACCAAAGTAGAAAATGGTAAAATGTTTACAAAAATTCTGCAATGTCTGAGATTCATCCAAACATACAGCAGTAGGTCCTGGTCGACTAATTTTCCTTTTTTTTTTACTGTATCGGTTACTCCTTCGAAAGTAAAAACATGAAGGAAATACAGCATCCATATACCGGACATGGTATTGTAACCCTACAATGAATCACTTACATTTAAAGGTGAAGTCAGCTGTACTTTGTCGCCTGTTGTTAAGGTAAAGACAGCTGTTCTTCCCTACAGGAGGGCCCGATGGATGAATGTAACAGATACATATTCTGATCTGTCTATGGCAGCTTTCATGTAAGGAACTATTTATTTAATGCTATTAACGACTGTGTCTTTTCCTTCGCTTCAATATATTTGCTCCCAGTGTATTATATTGCATACTGTCTGATCCGATAAATGCAGGAAAGTAGTTTGATATTTGGATGGGCCTTGTTGCTTGCTGAGAGGTTTCATTTGGTTTGTAACTGCAAGGCTGTTCAATTCTTTTTGTATATTATGAAAGCTACGTACCATGACGAATATCAACATGCTAGAGTAACATTTGAGAATGTGAAACTGAATCCTCCGACTTACTGGCTGTGAATTTGTATATCATGAATTTTTGGAGTAAATATAAAAACTTAACGCTTTTTCTTTAAAGGGTGTTCACATAACTTATTACAAAACAGGCTCATGATGATTCATTTCCTATCGATGAATGAGCAATAAAAATGTATTTATACTCTCCTTCCAAGCTGAAGAGTTATGCTGTTGTTACTGTGTATGAATTTAAAGCTTTTTGCAAAATTTGTTATTATAACGAGATATCATTTTCAGTTCCAAATAAGGTAACAAGGAAGTATTTCCAGGTCATCTTTACATTCCTGATCTCATAATAAAGTTCAATTGAGATTTATTGTAACATTTCATTTCAGAAAAAGCTGAGACTTGTATGTACTGGTATTAATCCACCACTGTTACTAGAATAATAAGTGAAATGCTGACTGCTTTAATCCTCCAGACAGGTGCCATGGAACCATTGCAAAAGAAGAGAAAGACATACACTGGATGAAAACAATGTTGAAACCTGTGGGAATATGACATTTAGGTTTGGTTCATGTATTCATTTGAAGTAACATCAGGTCCACATGGCATGGATCAAAAGTTTGTTCACTGGTCATTTTTCATCTCTTTAGTGGAAAAAAAGCTCAAAGTTAAATGTGTCATGTAGCCGTAAATCATGATTATTTGCTAAGTCATTTTCTCCTGCACTTGTTGGCCCTTTTATTAAAATCACGTTTCCCACCTCTGAAGTTTTAAATGTTGAAGATTTTCTTTGAGGGTGGGGGTGGGGGGGGGGTTGTTTTTTATTGAATTTAACTTTATAACAGGTGAACAAAACACTTATTGTAGTCCTTGACAGTGAATTTCAAACTAAGCTTATCAGCACTTTTTATGTTGCATCAAGTTTGAATTCTAACATGTCTTTTTTGTGGGTTCCAGTGTGCTTTAAACAAACCACAAGTATCAGACAGATTAAATGATCTATTTATTGGAGGTCAAAAACAAAAACCCTATTTTCTCTTGCTGAATTTTGTCCATCTTTATTTGGAAATATTTGGCATTCTCAAAAAGGTGCATATGAAACCTTCCAATATTGATCAAACAAAACTAAATTCATCGCATATAGATTAGTTGGATTTGCCTGGAGTCTGTAACCTGATAGCAGAGCTTACCCGAGGGATTCAAAGTATTAAGTGACGTAGTTATTCATTGAATCTTTTTGTTCCATTAGACTTGGAGTATGGAGATAACTGCGGGCATTAGTTAGCCCATTTGTATTTTTTCTGTGTCATAACTCTGCTTCCATTTCATGCAAGTGTGTCATGATGCCGCTATTATTCATTAATGTGAAATGAAGCATTCATGAGCCTGATGTGAATGTGTTATGTAAGCATTTACAAAGTGTTAACTTGGTTGTCTGACTTAATATATCAACCGCCTTAAGATTTTGGGATACATGTACAAGTGTAAATTTTCTTTTTGGTTTATTTCCATGTTGATACTGTTGACAAGTCTCCATTTGTTGTTCTTTTTATAAAAAGCGTTTCAGAATCTTCTGAGAGCTGTCAGGTTTCTAGTTCATTTAGCTATTTAGCAACATGTTTTTTATACTGCATATTGTAGCACTTCTGTGTCTAATAAGAGTTTAAAGTGTTGATAAAAACCTTTAGAAAGATCAACAGTTGTTGTTCAAGTGCATCAAAACAAACAAGAGCACAAAAATGTGTTTTTTATTTTATTTCTTAATACTATGTTATCTGCTTTCAGACAAAGTACTGTGAAATAAAGTCAAGGGTGCACATACAGTTCACACTCGGCATCTTTATTATGACTTTAAGTCTGCTCTTACACTGCATGTATGCTAATGACTTTTGTTGTTGACATTGGATTTCTTACTTACTTTGTCCCAACACATACAAAGCTAAAGCTAGCTTTTCAACTTTGTGTAGTGAGCTAAAGGAGGAGAGATACCAGAGATACAAGGATATCCATCTCAAGGTCTTTTCTTCATAATGAGAAAGATGGACCCAGATGACATGGAGCGTAAAATGGCATAACAAGGCAAGGCAAGTTTATTATTCTTGTTATTTCAGCAACAAGGAAATTGAAAATTCTTCACACAACAACACAAGTATAATGACAAAAGGAAAAAGAACATTGAAATAGAAAATGTAAAAATCACTTCAACAAACCATTAACAATAATCACAGAGAAGATAAAATATGAAAACATGTTAAAATATTAGAATAATATAAAAAAATAAGATACAAAAGAAATACAGAAATATGACCTTAAGCGTTTAAAAGACATCAAAACCAATAACCCAATTTGAGATGGAGAATTGTGTTGGGTCTGTCGATAATAGTGAAAGATTACCACAAGTAATCACTGATACTTAGGGTAAAAGATTAAGTGGGTATTAGAGCTAATACTGTTGTAAGCAAACACATACATGCACAATTAGAATGGTCAAGAACATATATTTATTTTTTTGCCAAATATGTAAACCTTCTTTACAGCCGATACTTCAGGAGAATTGGCCCTTTGACACAGTGAAGGAACATGTGTGGAGAACTGACCTGACATCACTGTTACTTTGCAAGTGTGCAAGTGTATTTTATTTCACACCACTCATTACTGGATTTGTGTCTCACTATGACATTATGTGCTGTAACTACTTGTGCACAACTACTATGGTGCCGAATGAATACCATAATTTCCTTTCATACTGTGCGCCTGCTCGAGACCATTTCTACACCAGCAGACATGTTTCTCTGCACAGCTAATGGCAGTACAGTAAGTGCTCAGAAATTGGATTAAAAGCTTATTCCTACATAATCACCTTGTATTTTTCTGAACACGTGTTGTTGTATGTAAACATACAGCAGACACATTGTTGTGCAGTATGGAGGTATGTTTCTGGTTCTAAGCTTTTCAACAGTATTAAAATGTGTAAAGGGCTGGCTGTCATCCTCTCAGAATCAAAGCGCTGCCATGTCTGGCCTGGCCAGGTCACACCCACAGCAAAGGGAGAAAAAAAAGAGTAGAAATGCTCTTTTTCTCCTTTCAAAGTAGCCTCAATAGACCGTGACACGATTTGGCCCCGTGTTGTCGGGAGCTCTGCCATTGTCGAAGCTGCACAGCAGCCACAACTATGACAGGAGGTAAAACGGATTTCGTCTGAAAGCTTTTCTTTACATTCCTATTCCCACTTTTGACTCGAAGCAAAAGTTCAACCATTCAAAATCGCAATTGAAGATTCTCTGTGCTTCCTCTTCTTAGTTTTGCTCTCCGGTAGCTTAAAATGAGAAGTAAATAGCTACAGGGCTTGCTGATTAGTCTGGGCAAGTAAACAAGGTGAGGTACAAGTCCAGACTGCATTCAGAGCAGGCCAATGCTGTTTTCAGCTTGTTTCAAGGTCCAACGTACATTTTCTGCCTTAAATGAACCACTACCAATTACGATGTATGAAATCTAGTAATACTACAACAGTCAATCAACATGCTATCTACCTCGTGGACTGAACACTGCCTGGGAACTGCTTAAACTTCATGCCAAACAATTAATTTCACTTAAATAATGATGCAACCACCATATTCCCTTACTGTTGCCAATAATAGCTTGTTTACAGCTCTTTCTGTCTCTTCATAGCAATTTGCTTGGTTGGTTTGCCCAGAGGGAAATGAAGGGTAGACACAGTGGAGGGCGTCCACTCTGATTTGTTGTTGCTGCTCACATCACTGAACAACAGGGGTTAGCATCAAAGCAGAAATCACACACAACCTCAACCTGTATCTCCTCACTTAATCTACGCACTCCCTTAGGTAAGTCTCCTGCCATACCAAAGTCAACATTTTCCATTTTGATCATTTTAAAAGCCAGCGACCTTTTTCCAATCCTGCACATGACATCAAAGGAAAATGGCCACCGTGGCAACATGTTGAATTACAACTAATCTGGATGACAGTATGCACTACATCCTGTTGTATATTACATTTCAGTATTGTCATTTCATTTCCAAGAGTTCCTATTAAAACCACTACTTACCCCCCAAAAAATTCCAGGATGTTGGAAAACAACAGTTGGTCCCATTCACTCATGTTTTACAATCCCAATGCAATGCAACATTGGGCTATCGGTGATGATCATTAAGTGTCCAAAATCTGAATTACCGTCCCTGCTGCTGCTAGGGAGTAGTGAATGATCAAACAGGGGAATGATTTGGGACAATGCCACATCCTTCAATTCAACAAGACAAGAGAAGTGGCTCTGTGAGGCCGCGCTGAGGACACAGAGGTACTGTGAGCTAAATGCCAACATCAGCATGCCAACATAGATCTTAGTGTAGCCTATAACATTTGCTAATCAGCAGTAAACACAAAGTACAGACAGGGCTGCTGGGAACTTGATTACTTTTCCAAGTGGTCATAAAACAAAGTATTGAAGAGATAGCATTTTTTGACACGCAGAATGTATTATATGGGAATCCGGGGGATTATCAAAGTCATTAGGATACATCATACGGGAGCTGTGAATATCCGCAAGAAATGATGTGTCTGAATACACCACAGGAAAGTGCAAACCTGGACTGTGATTAATGTCTGTACAAAATGTAAAGCACTCCACCTCCTTCATGGGAGTCAGCCTCTGGGAACCATCAACATACACAGATTATCACGCCCATTCACTCAGTAGCTGTTGAGATATTTCAGTAAAAGCCTGAAATTACAACCTGCTTGCAGCACTTAAGCTATACAAAGTAGTTTGACCATCAAAGCAACTGTGATTCATCCTCTGGGGATCATCAACATTTCCGGACAATTTACTCGGTTGTTGTGAAGATATTAAGGTAAACTGAATGAACAACCTGCTTTCGGTTATACAGCAGAGTTATATGATCGCCCTAGTTAACAAGATTCATCCAATGGGGAACATCAACATATGGAATTTAATAATGACATTTCATTCTGTTACAAAGTTTCAAAGAAATATAAAAGTCTGATATTACAGTCTGCTCACAGTGGTTCAACTAAAGATCCTGGATCTCAAAAGTCATGATTCATCCTTTGGAGACAAGAGGATGAATCAGTAGTTGTTGAGATATTTCAGTCGGGAGACTTAAGGATTATTCAAGCAAATGAAATGTATTGGCACAATCTACCAACCAACGTGGCAGAATACTTACATAGTGTACTTTGGAGCAGAAACAATAAGACAAAGAAATGTACTGTCATAAGTTTTGACGGCACACCCTGCACTTATATAAGATTTGTTATGTTCTAAATTTTGTTAAAGGGTATTTCCTAGTGCCTATCTCTAAGATCACATACGGAGTGTTTGTTGTGTAGGAAATGATGAATGAGGGAAGCAATGAGTGATTTCAGACACAGCACAGAGTGAACTCTGAGCTGCAGACTCCATCATGTCACAGTTGAGGAAACACGGCGCAGTACACTGATCACAGCACCAGGGCTTTCCCCCGGGCTTTATGCTGATCCTGAACAAACAAATAGGCATCCTAACAGCAAGATAAAATAAGAAAAAAAAAAAGGTCAACTTAATCCCTGAAGAGATCTTGTTTGTATTGTTTGTGGCATTTTTTTCTCCTAGGAGAGAAACAATGTAAAACTAAAGAACAATTTCTGAGGCGGAATATAAGCCCCGAAGCTTACTTTTCTTTGTTTTTGTATCAAAGATTACTTTTGGACAACACCCTGCATGTCATCCTTTTGGGCAGCGATGGAAAGCCTGGATCCTTGGACATGGCACACAGAGTGCGTTAATCAGCCGTCAGCAGAGCATGACTAAGGCTCCGACTTTTAAGTATCTAAGGACTGAAACAAGCCAAAGTTCTTCAGCTCTTTTCAGATCCGTTGTCTAATTGGATATGGGTGGTAAACTATAAAAAACAAAACACCCATAGTGGACTCTGAAATGAGATCTGCACCAAGGTCAAAGGTCAAATAGCCTCTGCAATTTCCAGATTGAGCTCTTATGAAGCTGATTTGAAGGATGATCAAATGAGTCAAAAAGCACATGAGCATGGCCGTTGACCAGCTTGCTTTCTGGGCCAAATCCTCATCCAAATTGAATTTTCAAAATGTATTCAAGGGATGAAATATGACTGTTAATGGAATCATAGAGGTTTGATTTTTCAGTAGCAAATGTGTGAAGTGCATACTGCAATGTTTTATACTTCCAAGAAAGAGCATTATGAATGAATCTTTCATGTTTGTACCAAGGGGTGTTGAAGCGTGTGATCTATGAGCACCTTCATGTTGCAGAAACTCTTCACTCTTGTTAGAGGAGATTTATGCTGATGGATGATTCCAGCGAGCTGAAAAGGCCCAGGACCGGCTCATTAATACTCGCCGCAGCAGCAGCAGCAGCAGCAGCAGCCGCAGCGATCGCCGAGCAGAACGAGTGAATGATCCTTCAAATGAGCGCTGTGCAGAGGCAGGTCACGGGGACCACCAGTCAACACCGTACAGGCAGGGAAGAGACGAGGATAAGCCGAGCGCACTTTATGTCGGAGCAGGAGCTACCGCACTGCTCATTATGATATGAAAGCGTGAGCAAATCAAAGAGTCTTTGCACACTAGAAAATATAAGACGAGTACCCACACGGGTCACATGACTTTTGTTCCAAGGAACTTTTTGCTTCTGGCGATAATGAGCCTGCCTGTCTCTTTCCCACATCTTTGGTCCTGTCTTCTTTTCTTTTTTTCTGCCAAACAAAGACTCCTCTGATCATAGCGGAGCACAAACGAGAAGAAGCTGAGTTTAAAAGAAAAAAAAGGAAAAA